GCTAGAATCTATCTCATGAATTATTAATTTTCTGTGTTTCTGTCTCATTATGGATTCAAACATGATCTCCGATTTATCACCCAATGCTGCAATCTTAACCTTTCAACCAGTAAATCTTCCAGATTTACAGAGATATAATTTTAATAAAACATTGGTGGGGAGAGATTTATTTCTCTACAGTTCATAGGGGAAGAAATTGGAGAAAGTCAGCTCCAGAGGCAGGGCTGCCAGCTTGAGTCTAGAAGTGATGATGAACTGGGCGAAGAAAGGATATTCCCTCTCTCTCTTTGTCGTTCTATCTCACTGTTTCTTCCAAAACTGTTTCACCAACCTTTCCTTAACAAGCTTGCGACAAACACATTCATAATACATGTTCGGATGCTCTGTTACACATAGCCAGGTCCACCCCTCACCAACCCGCTTACGAATTTCCGCACACAGAGAAGTGCCGTGGCTCAACGAAACAACCTTCAAAACAAATTGCAAACGAATAAAGTGGGAACCAATCCTTAGAAGCTACTAGTCATACTGAGACTTCGCTGTCACACCTACTGCTTACACAAGAACAAAATTCAATGGAATGATACCAATGCCGGTTGGTAGCACTGTCAGATAAAAGTTCAGAGGGCTGACGAGTGGCCATTGTTCTGCGGGACTAACCTCAGAACATCGAGTCGTATTACTGTGCCACCAGATATCAACTTGGGCAGAATCCAGGACCATTATAATACTAATGAAATCCAATCGCTCTATTCTTTGCATAGCTGAAGTGAAAACGATCTGCTACGCCATATTTGATTACGAACGTCAGACAGTGACGCACATCATGTCAAATTTAATACAGTTGCTTACAACTGAATTGCAAGATATCTAAATGATTTATGTCTTAAAAAATATTTCTGTTTGACACAGGTAGATACAATGCAATTTATGACTCATATGCGAAGATGTAATTACAATTCAAATCGCAAGGCATAAATTAATTGTACGCTGTTACGTTTTATATGCGATGATGTAATTACAATTCAAATCGCAAGTCATAAATTAATTGTACGCTGTTACGTTTTCAATCATTGCATTAAAGTAGGTTTATTCTACCAATATCTTGGCGTCAGTAGAGCTTAACGCTTTTGTATTAAGACAGGAAGTTTCTTCAGTTAAGTTCCAGGAACCACAATAAGGAACAAAATTACATGCTCAGAAAATAAATATTCAAGCAGACTCTTTTCAGTTTAATTTTTGTTCACGTTACTTTCCTCGTTAAACAATATCCACTGAGGAGAGAGAATTTTAGATTAGTTTTCAATATCCTTTCCACCGGAGATATTTTCCAATAGAAACAATTCTCCACGTAATCCATTTTCCACTTTAAACAAGTTTCATTCCGTAACTTGAAGAAGAAGTATTGTGTACAAGAAACCGTATGTAGAACAAAACAGTCTAGTTAAAAGCAACAGGTTTTGTCTGAAACATTTTTATATCACATTAATCTATGTGAATATCTAAAAGTATAGTCCAGACCTTAATTTATTTTATAAAATGTATAACTTTAATTTAGTCGGCATATACCAAATTTCGACGAAATTACTTCATCCAGAGCATACAGCAAGTACTAGTGCTGCTTCAAGCGTCAGTTCTTAATATTAAATCAGATCGACTGTTTTAAACATTCAGTCAATTCTTTTTTGTTTACATGAAAATGCAATACAAAGCTCCCAAATGTTTCAATATTTAACACCGTGTTTAACCTTAATATTTTCAATTAAGATGTCTGTATCAACTACTGGCATTAATGTCTGCAATCGACGATGGTCGAACCTGAGTCACAGACGCTAAACTTTTGTCCTCAGTCGTCGTCAAACTGGTCTTGTACCATTCGGTATGGAATTCACTTTGCTGAGCTTGTTCTAATTTGTCCTTAGTTCGATAATACAGACGATGGCATACATTTTAACATGGGGTAAGAACCACGGTGAGGATAAGCCATTTTCGAGCCCGTGACTTACCCGTACGCTGACAGACGGTATAAACAGTGGACGACTTTTTTTTCAAGCCGTAGTTTGATTAGGATGGCAGCACTGGCATCAAGCCAATACACCCCAATATGGCGGCCTCTGAAATGTACTGCCACTCCGCGTTCAGTTCGTTGCTGAGATAAAAACAAATGACTTTCACAAATCCGAAAGGAATTACTGTTGCCACCAAATACCAATTCGCGCTCCAGTTCGGTTATATGTTGTTAAACAACGCTATATCAACTACAGAGGACCGAATATTTCACTGTATTAATTCTTACAGGAAACAATAACTCGTTAATCCATGATACTCGTGTTCTGGGAACCCTGTGCTTATTATTTACGCCGGCCGAATACTCCTTTCGAAATTTTGATGTTATTCCCGAATCAAATACTGGGATAAGAACTTAAAATAGTCCATGGCCATTTCACAAATCTCGATCCGTAAGCCAACTCTCGTTTCTCATTTGACGTTACGGAATATACGAGGTGCGATCGGAAGGTTTCAAGACTGCGCGTATAAAAACCCGTACACTTATCTCAGGTATTAAATTCATCCATCACCCTCGAAATAGTTCCCCTGGGAGTGAACACAACAATCCCAGCGCCGCTGCCAAGCCTGGAAGCATCCCTGGAAATCTTTCTTTGTCAGCCTGTCAAGCACCATCTGCGATTCTGCCTGAATCTCTT